TTTTTGCAAATAAAGACAGGTCCTTCTATGAACGAGGAATATGAAGCTCACTGAAAGATGGCAAAAGGTTATTGAACAAAATGGGCAATATATCACTGATTGATCTTTGTTCTTTATATAAATAAATGACCTTTGAAAAACATAGACAAAATACATCACAACTTTTCCAACAACCCAATATATCAACATGGCTTGAACAGGGGTTGGGTGAGCATTACATGCCAATCCTTAAGGTTAAAGTATGCTCTACAAAGCTTGCAAAAATCTATGTCATCTATGACTAGCAGTATAAAATTCTATAATCACTTGAAATGTCAGTTTAACCTCAATAATGTGAAAAACTCCTTAAATGCGATGATGTATGAAATTTGTCGATAAATAATTCTCTATGCAAAAAAGGGCAGAGGGGCAGGAATGAAAGAGCTGTAAAGACCCTGCTCAGCCCTGTTGCAGGAAGCCAAGAGATGCCAATAAAAACCAAGTCCCTCAGCTCCTGGCTTGTGTAGGATCCAAACCAAAGTCCTCAGTGCAAGATCTGCAAGTACACCACACAACCATTTCTAAGACACGGTCTCTTGGTGTCTGCCATTTTCTACAACAAAATCAGAAGGCTTAAACAGAGCACAAAATACAGCAGCAGCTCTCTTAACTAACTCTGGATTAACAGACACTCTCCATTCCCTCTATTAAATATTCAGACAAGGCCATGTGAACTGAAAGGTAGTGGCCAATGCCCTCTTCTTGCTTTTCCCTGTTGTGTGCTTGCCAAGTTAACTGTGCTCCTTCACAAGCTTTTTTATACCAATTATTCTTGTTATTGTTGTTAATGAAATATTATAAAAAATAATGAAATAGTAATTATTAGTAGTAATAATCATTATTTCATTTTATTTTTACGCTGCTTCCATAAAAATTAAGCCTTGGAAAGATAAAGGTAAGTTGCTAAAAAAATTTACAATTGAAGCTGAAGTTGAATAATATTGTATGTCAACTATAATTTAATATATATATAGTCACGGGATATGGAGTATAGTACAGGGGAAAAAAATCAATGAAATTGTAATAGGTATATACAAGGTCAGAGGGGCAACAGATTGGGGCAGGGGGGTTATCACTTTGTGAGGAGTGAAATGTATAACTATTAGATTGTTTTGTATAACTGAAACTAATAAAAAAAATTTACTATTAATATAGGTGTAGGCAGCCAACCGTAAAAATCTAGAGAAGTAATTATAAATATCTAGAAAGATTTGGCACTCAGAATATAGCTTCACTTTAGAATATGGATCATTTTTATGATTCACGTCTTTAACCAGCTTTCTCAATTAACCAACCCAAGTAAGAGGTCTTCTATTGTACAGCAATATTGTTCTGGGAATAATTTTCAGTCATATGGAATTGTTTTTCTGGTAGTCAAAGGTTTTCAGTGTTTTTCCTCAAAATGAAAAAAATAGTCTTCCCTTCCCGTGACTTTATTTCATCAAATCTAAGACATCATTAATGATAAGATTCAACATTTTTTTCTTCTGTCTGACGTTATATAGAATAGACTGCCAATTGACCAGTGTGCCATCAACTGAAAGACATATCCCAATTTCAAAGATGTTAGAATTAAAACTATGCATCTTGGGATAAATGAAAAATGTTTTGAAAATAATCATGTTCACTGTAAAAGAAGCTTAAATACGGAAGAAGAAAAAGCTCACTCAAAATATGGGCCACTTAAAAACTGTCCTTACTCTCAGGCTTTCCACACACTTAACAATATTTACAAAAAAACCAACTGTGCTAGGCGCAGAGTATATAGATTCATAAAATATCTTTTCCCAGGGAAAACTCCCATTCTAGTGAGAAAGATAGACTCTGATCAAATGATCATAATATGATATGGGGTTCTCTGAGAGAGTGAGTTGAGGGTCTAACTCAACCCAAAGGAGCTAGGAGAGGCTTCACAAAAAAGGAGATTGACATGGAGGTCTGAAGGATAAACAGCCATTCATCAAACAGAGAAGATAAAAAGACTCTAAGCAGAGGGCACATGTGCACCAAAACATTAAATGTGGGACGGTCAAAGGGCAGCCATAGGTGAAACTTGCCCTTGAATAGAGACAGCAATTCAGGATGAACGTAAGTGTAAGTGCTGATCAACTAGTTTCCACTTTACTGAGAATTACTGAAGTCATCACAATAAGATTTGATTAATTTAAGGTCCTAATTTACTACTTTGACAATACGACTTTAACTGATGTTTACTTCACTGTAGAAGGTTCCTATGACAATGATCTATGAGAACATTCATTTTATTATTAAATGCATCGGCAAAGAAATGATCTTTTGAGTTATGTCATGGCAGCATTAGAAGGCCACGGTATGAAAAGATGTTTCGAGACAACTGCAAACAAAGTAACCCCCAAAATAACTAAAGGCGCAATCTCAAGTAAAGTGGCAATAGCTGGGAAACTCTTCTCGAAATACAGCCGTCAGAAACGGAAAGTGTCCTCTCGAGTAAAGTTTTCAGCAGGAAGCCTCAGGCAGAGAGAGGCATAACGCTGATGTGTAAACCAATAAACAGATTTCACTTCAAGCAGTTTGGGAAGACGGTCGGTGATGGCAAATCAGAAATCTGTCAAACCTGCCCATGGCTGAAGTTATGCGCCAACAGCAGCAACTTTGAAGTCCGAGAAGATAACCGCCGTGAAACAAACTAGTCCACCTTGGACAGCGAGAATCTCGCTGATCACTTCAAGCTCCAAGATAAGCAGGTAACTTTTACATCTCAGCGAAGGAGAGAGAGAGGCAGCTCTTGCTACTTACTCCCTTCACTCTCCCGGGTACGTTAGAAACCAAGGCAACGCGTGCAACGTCACAATCCCAACACAGTCAACCACGCTGATCTCCAAAAAAGGGGCCAGACTTAGGGCAGAAATCAGGCTCCGAGGGGGTGGGGCGGGGCGGAGGGGGTAGTTAAGAAGCAAGAAGAAACATGGGAAAGGAAGTGAAACAGAAGCGGGAATGAAAAGCAGTATGCGGATGGGAGCGACGGTCCCACCAATCCGATTGGCGAGCAAGGAGAAAAGTCCCCCAGATGCAGACAAATGTCTAGAAAGGGATTTCTTGGATCTGAGTTTCCCAGGAACTCAGCGTCGGCTGCCCCTTCCCCGCCCAACCCCACCCGCTTCCTCCCTTTTGATGGGACGCTTAGGTGAAATCCTTTTCAGGTGGCTCCCGGCAAAACTGTGAGGGAACTCCCAGAGCTGCAGGTCGCATGCCCCACACATGCGAGGGGAGTGGTCAGAGGCAGAGGTGAGATGAGTGGGCTCTTCCTTACCTGCCGCAGGAGCTTCCACCGGGCGGCTCCTAAGGGCGCCGAGTCGGCTGGCCCTGGAGCCCGGCCGCCGCTTGCCGGGCCCTCGCCTGACGCGCGCTCAGCCTCGCTGGCCCCGGCCTCAGTGGCTCGGGACTCCATCCCGCTGGAGCCACTTAAACACGAGCTGGCGCCACCACAGGTCTCCCCTGCCAGGACCTGTCTACTTCTTCCCTGTCAGGACCTGTCAAGCCGGGCCTCCCTCCCACGGCTTTAGCCCTCCCCCAAAACCGCATTTCCGGTTTTCTCGTCTCCTTGGCAACCAGGACAGCGCTGCTTACGTCATTGCACCATTTTGCGGGTGGCCACCTTGAGTGAGGGCGGACCAGAGGGTGAGGAAGCTGTGGCAGACGCTGCCCCTATTTGTTCTCTTCTCCCCTGCCTCATCTAAAGCTCAGAATACTAGCCAAGAATCACAAGGCTTATGTTTTTGGGGATTGAAAAACACAGGAGGGGGGGAAAATAGATATATATCCATTCTTGACCACAATAAAGATGGCGAAATGTGCTTAGTGCTCGTGCCAGATTGGGGTTACGTAGACCGGCGTGCTGCAAACCAGCTCCCGGCGGCTCCGGGTAGGTTTTGGTTCTGAGAGCTGCAGAACGCAGACTTCGGCTGAACAGGACTGAGGTCAGATCTCCGCTCCTTCTTAAGAGCTTCGGGTTCTTCGGACTGCCTTCACTGGTTTTGGTGCCCAGAGCCAGTCTTTCAATTTGCGTACGTATGGGTGCCATATGCTGGGGGTCTCTTCCCGTCTCCCCGTCCTCCCCGCACCCAGCCATCCCTTAGAACCTTGGTCCTCGCTTTTTGACCGATTGTCCCTGCACTGCGTGGCACATGGTATACCGCTCCCTTCCGCACTCAGATCGCCTCATCTCAGGGGTGGAGAGTTGCACCGGGAAAATGAATGGTTTCTCCCGGGGACACCTGTTCGTCGACCCCACCCCCACCCCCACCCCTAGCCTTGCCTGCTGTCTTCTCCCAGCGGATGAGAGATGGATTGAAACTGCCCGCATGGCTATAGTGATTTAGGTTATTTATTGTATTCATCATTATTTATTTTGCTGGTGTCGGCTGCTGATCCCCTACCCCCACTCGCCCGATATTTTGCTGCGACACAGATTAAGGGGAGGCGGGGGCGTTGGCGTGGTGGCGGAACAGAACCGTAGTGAATCTGAGTATTGTACCTTTGATACCGAGGGGCGTTTTGTGGCATACTTCCATGATGACATTCACCACTGTGCAACATGTTTAGATTTTTCCTGTCCTAATAATAATAGTGGTCACCATTTATTGAGTGGTTACTACGTGCCAAGCACTGTATTAAGATCGTAACATAAATTGTCTACTTTTATTCTTACAATAACATCTCCATAAGGTAAATGGTATCATCTCAGTTTTGCAGATGAAGAAACTGAGGCACAGATAGTGAAGACCTGAAGCCAAGTCTCTCTGACTTAACTACTTACTAGCTTTGATTACCTTGATAGGTTAATAAGAACCAACTTCCCAACAGAAATCAGAGATGGCCTCACGTTTTGTTTGTGCATCCTGAAATGGTTTTTGGTTTTTTATCTTAGCTAAATAGCTAAATACCTTTTTAATGTTAAAGTCCAATCGTCCAAGATTTAGAGCCAAACCAGTTTGGAGTTTTTGCTCTACTACTACTCCAGGTGACCTGAGGCAGTTGCTTAAACTTCCCAGAACCACAGTTTGTTCATCTCTAAACTGAGTATTAACTACTCTATCAGGTCCTTATGGAGTTTAAATTAGACAAAGCATATAAAAGCATCTGGCACGAAGCAAACACTCAACATATCCCCCCACACACACCTTTGTTAGGTAATTAGGCTTTTCTAGCTTATCCTCCATATCCATACCAAACATATATTCTCATTTATGTAAGAGCAAAGCTATTTTGCCTTTTAAAGCCCTCAGAGTTCCTGAGATGCCCCCATTAAGTCTATGTATATTTGCAAATTTTTATTTTGTTTTGTTTGTTTGTTTTCTGTTTTGTTTGCTTTTTTAGTTTGCCCCCGTGTGTACCAGAGTCAGTGCTGCATGGTTTGAACCTGATAGGACTGACTGTACAAATGAGACATTTAAGTCACATCTGCCAAGAAGTATGATTTCAATGAAACTTTGACTTATACAAGTTTTCAGATTTTTTAACCTGAGTTCCCAGCTGTCTGCAGTTACTCACACTACCTGAGGGGTGCATGGCCCTGAACGGGAGGGATAAGAACTGCGGATCTCAGATGCTCTGAGAACCCGCTACTATAAATCGTACCTATGAAATCATTCATGTGCTGGCAGCCCCAAAGGGAGCATAAACCAGGGACTTTGCTATCATGCAGCAGAAGAGCAAGTTATTTCTCCAAGCTTTGAAGTATAGTATTCCTCACCTTGGGAAATGCATGCAGAAACAGCATTTGAATCACTGTAACTTCACCGATCATTATTACAGTAGAATAAAATTGAAAAAAGGTCACCTAACCAAGTGTCTGCAGAATAAACCCAAGATATCAGAGTTAGCAAGAAACATCCCAAGTCGGAGCTTCTCATGTAAGGTATGGACTGTTTAAGTTAACCTATTTGTAGGTCATTAACATTTTAGTTTAAAAATAATTCTAGTTTGACTTTTTTTAAATGTTCAGGCTCAATTGTACTCAAATGTAAATATACAAGAATACTGACATATTCGTAGAGCTCTAAAGTAATATATAAAAATATAGATTTATAAAAAATGATTCACCTTAGGAATGCCTTCGTATGCCTACCAGTGCAATTCAAAGTATAATTCAGTTTTCTAAAATTCCTAGAATATTATAATCGCTCTAAATAAAATAGTAATATGCTAATTGTTTTATGAATAACTAATTAGTAAATTTCAGTAAAGGCGATGTACTTGTGTGTTGCTTCTATGTAAAAATATGAAAAAAGGACTTGCATTTTTGACTACTTGCGTCCTTTAGGAAGATGCTTTCAAACTATTGTACTTTGGCCAGACCCCAAGCTGCAGGCATGACTTCAACCTTGCGAACCTGATTGCCATTAATTATAGAGTGACCACACATCCCGGTTTGCCTGGGACAGTTCTGGTCTACACCTGTTGTCCCTGTGTAATTATTAATAGTCTCCCTTTTCCTCTCAGAAGTGTCCTGGTTAGGATGGTGAATTATACGCTCATCCTACTTGCTTGAGATTAAGTTATCTATTTATGCTGCTGCCTCTTGGACATACCTCCCCTACCCTATCCTTGTTGTGGTCCTGAGCTTCCTTAAATTATATTTGGGGTGACGTTCTTGCAATACTTAGAATATTTTATAGCTTTAATTGTTTCGTTGCGTACTGATTTTTCTTACTGATTTGAGTTCCTCCTTTTTTACTGTGGTAAAATATGTGTAATATAAAATTTGCCATTTTTAAGTGCAAAATACACTCACAGTGTTGCATAGCCATTACCACTACCTGTTTCCAAAACCTTGACATCAGGCAAAAAAAATATATACCCATTAAGCAATATCCTACCTTCCCTCAGCCCTTGGTAACCTTTAATCGATTTTGTCTTTATGAATTTGCCTATTCTAGCTAATTCATATAAGTGGAATCATAATATTTACCCTTTTGTGTTTGGTTTATTTCACTTAGCATAATGTTCTCAAGGTTCATTCATGTTGTGTATATCAGAATTTCATTCCTTTTTATGGCTGAATAATATTCCATTATATGTATCTACCACATTTCGTCTCTCCATTTGTCTGTTGTTGGTATACATTTGAGCAGCTTCTATTTTTAAAAACAATTTTTTAATCTTATTTTACTCAGTTTGTCTGGTTTTTTATTTAATTTTTGCTCTTTTCTTAGCTCATACTTATTGTGGGTTGTTTTGTGTGTGGGTGGTATTTTGGGGTTTTTTTGCTTTTAACTTTTTATCTATTACTCCTTCCATTTTAGTCTTTCAAATTATTTTTATTTTTATAGCATGTTAGCTTAGTTTAACACTTGATTCTTTACTTATTCAGTAATTCTTTATGCCTTCTTTTTATTTCATTTTAACCTTTTGTGTAAGCACAAACATGCAATTTTATCCTACTTTAAAAAGATGAACTTTTAAATTTTACCTATTGGACACATTTTAGACCTTTAGATCATTTTATTTTCCACATGTTTAGAACATTTTGTCATCTTGTGCTTTTATCTTTAGTTTTAGTTTATAAATAGTAGGCAGGAATTACCATCAGAGTGACAGCTGTGAGATTAGCGCACACCCTATGCAGGAAGTCTACTGTTTTCTTTTTACCCTCCATCTACCCCCGAAGCAACTTTTCGTAGATACGTATCACCTAGAAACTGTCCTGACCCAGTGATTCCAGGAAAAGGGGCTCTTTTAGTAATTCTTTTACCTGATAAAATGGTCCTGCTTTCACATGTCACATGTCAACCATTCCGTCTATGAGAAATGATATGATCTGAAAGCTGTGATCTGTCCTTTATGGTTACTGGGACCTGCGGAAGCTGTAGAGAGACATGTAGATAAGAATGTACATTTCCGGGAGTGACTGTTTAGCTCAGTTGGTTAGAGCTTGGTGCTGCTAACACCAAAGTTGCTGGTTCGATCCCCGCATGGGCCACTGTGAGCTGTGCCCGCCTTAAAAGAGTCAACTATGCCATTGTAGCATGAAAGCAATGTGACCATGGCTGTTCTCCAATAAAAAGTTAAAAAAAAGAAAAGAATGTATATTTCCTTTCAGCAAGCATCCGCTTGGTTCCAACCTCGTCCACTCCTATGGGTACAATAAATTGGAAAAAGTAATTAGTGCTTATAGACAAATTAAAACATATTTGCTTAAAGTACTGACCTATTTATATAGGTTAACCAAAGAACAAGAGAGGACAGCATATACAATAATAGGAATGTCAGACGGCAAGAGATCTAGCCAAGGCGGGTGTGCCTGGGAACTAGGCGGGACTGTCATCTTCCTGATTGAAAAAAAGGGAGGTTCAACTTGGTGTTCTCTAAAAGTCCTCAAAGTGATAAAATTTCATCTTTTCTGTATACCTCTACCTTGTTACCTTAGCAACAAATCACCTATACGTTTGGGACTCGTTTGTACCAACTTCTACAGTCTGGCTGCATGTGAAATCCTGGGAAGTTTTTTAGAAACATAGATGCCTGGATCTCACCCTACGTGTGCTGGATCAGAAGCTCTAAAGCTAAGGCCTAGG